GGGGCATCACAGCTATTGTAGTGCAGGTGCGGACACAGGCAGCTCTATGAGGCATCCGGGGGCCTCGGACACACACGCCTCTGTCAGAGGGAGCTGGGCAGAGACTCAGACGGACCGGACTGTGGCGCCTGGATCTGAAGCCCTCATTGATCCAGGGCAATTCTCATCTCATTCGAATGACAACGTGGGGCCGTGCTGTAACGCTGTTTGTCTTCACAGGGTCGTTGTATTAATTTCCAGCGGGTCAAAGACGGAGAGTCCGTCCCGAACAACCAGGCCCGTCCTCTTGTGCATCGCTCTCCCTCTCCCTCTCCCCCTCCTGCGCCTCCTCCTCCGATCGCAGAACAGCGACCCCTGGTCTCTAATTCCGTGCCCCGTACGAAGCCTCCGTCCAGAGGGCCACGCACGACGCCACCTTCCCGTGCGCCCCCGCCCATGGTGAATTCCCCTCCGTGTCCACCTCCAAGTCGTCTGCCCCCGGGGCCTCCAGGACCTCCACCATCTCGACCTCCACCCAGGCTCTGATGATGTAAAAAAACATGGGGGCCTCCCACAAACCACTTAAAAACCTGATAAATCCAAACCCCGACTTCCTCCTCCTCCTCCTCCTCCTCCTCTCACAGTGAAGATCTAGAAGCAGCACAGAAGCAAAACGAATCTTTCAGGCCCGGAGCACACCCACAGCTCTGGGCTTTGTTGCTGGACAGCAAATCAAAAAAAAAGTATTTATCTGATAATAAAATCAGCTACTGACCTTCATCCTCATTAACTTTTTTTTTTTTACTAAAAGCATTATAGAAAAAGCATGTAGTCACCTGGTTTAGCCTGTATGTACAGTAGTGTCAGTCATGTGGGTGTTAGTGGTCAGAGTGAGGGCCAGTCTCTAACTGCACCAGTGCAATGTTGTGTGTAATTGATGGGTGGAAAATAAATATGTGTTTGTGTTGGAATTTTGGTGGATTTAATGATGATGATGATGCTGATGATGCTGATGATGTAATGTGACAATGTAGTTGGACAAACGGCAAGTTGTTAGAAAGAGTTAAATGTAAGCCTTGAGTTTTTAAACACATGTTTACAAATATGCAATTTTTGGCTTTACCTTTATCACCAAAGAAATCAATTTTTTTTTTCTTTTGACGACACCCTAGTTAAAAAAATTGTGTAACATCTCAACGTTCTAATGGTAACTGCAGGGCAGTTTCTCCATTTTTAATTTATTTCAGTACCAGCCCAGTTTCTGCATGTTCTCTTCTTAAAGTTAGATGAATCTCTGGCTCTTTCAGTCTGCCACGCTGCAGAATGTTCAGACAGATGCAGGCGAGGATTATATGTGTGATGGATGCATTGAACATCATTAACCTTAGGATTCTTCTGTACTCCAAATGTACTGACCAAAAATGATCTTTTGTATAATTTAATTTGTTTGTGACATTTTTCAATAAAGTCAACTGTTTTTTACCTGGAACTAAGAAGCAACGTTTTTGACCAACTCAAAGCAAAAGCATTCAGAAATGCTATTTCACACAATGCACTTACTCTCCAAACATACAACAAACATACAAAACACATTTTGTCTTTCGACATGCTCAAAAGAACACTGCAAGTGCAATGCAACACGTCTGCATCGACTACAGGACACAATTGTGCATGTTTAATAATTATTATAAAAAGACAAGTAAAGAGCAGTGTTAATTATTATAAAAAGACAAGTCAACAGCAGTGTTCTATAAGGACCTGGTTCATGTTGTACAGAAATTGTATATTTTTTGTGATTGTTTTTTTTTTCTTTTAAGACCCACGGCCCAGTTAACCAACAGAACATCACCTCGGTCTAACTGTACTGTTTTCTCATCACACAGATAACCGTTTTTGCACCGTCATTGCAAATGAGCTCATATTAGATCAGGACCGTTGTGCTGACACGACAAACCGGCGATAAATCTGGCTCCGTTCAACCGACACAACAAAAACCTAACGACATATTTATGTGAACAGGATATACTGCAGGAACATTTGCTTTTACAATCTAAGAAACACGTTCTTTAATTAAACTAATTACAATCCTGTCAGAGTTGGAACTCTTTTAATCTGTCCCTGACACTTATATCGGTAGTTTATGAAATTAATCACTAAATTTTTAAGATGTTATACGCAGCTAGGTTCGTTCAAAGTCATATTTCTGGGATACATCTGTCGACTATATAAATCTTGAGTGGCTTTTTTTTTTTACTGCTGCTGCAGTTTCGTGAATTTGGAACAGAGTCAAAAGAAATTACTGAAGCAGGTTTTTACTTTGGCTGAAGCGTACGTGTACATTAAACATAAGTACTTTTAAGTGTATTCGAAGTGAAATGTATGGAAGACGAGTGATGAAGTCAAAGGGTCTGGTGGGATTTAATGTACAGTAGAGGACAGGCCGCATTCTGCCTCGTTCTTGGACACAGACTGGTCGTATGTTAGTGGTGATGGTCGGTCTGAGAATGTCCTGATTCAGCCCCAGACCTCTGCTCCTCTGTTCTCCTCAGAGACACCGACACAGAGCAGCGTAATGAGGTCGGTCTGTTGCTTCATGACTCACATTGCTGTAATCACTGTAGAGAAATGATTCACACCAGGCTAATGGTGTAATAACTCAACCCGCGACACGACAACCGAACAGCTTCTCAATGTCAGGAAGAAACGGCACGAATAAAAAAAAAAGAAAAAAAAAGAAGCACAATAAAATCTAAGCTGCAGTCGACTGTGGACTGCTGATGTGGTCACCGTGGAATTTCTGCACCGTCTGAAGGCATTTTTAATCTGTGTGCAAATTAAAATGGCCCTCACTCTCCATAGTTCAGAAGTCCACAGCGCCCCCATCTGACCAAACCACAAAATGACAATGACTAACTTGTAATTGTATTAAAGATAGGGACAGCGGTTGTTTCACCGGTGTGGTTTATTTGCAGCCTTTTTTTTTAAAATCTAATTGGCTGAAATCAGTCAGGAGCAGAAAAACACATCCGACATCATGTCTGTCAACGTGTTCACGGCTAATCTGTGAGAGAGCAGTTTAAAAACAAACTGAGCTCTCACACACAAACACACCGAGGTTTAACACACACACACATCATCATCACCATCATTACACACACAAAGTCCACTGAGTTTTCTTTTCAAGCTTTTTTCTTTTTCTGCATTTTCCTTCCTGACAGCGCCCCCTTCTGGGCTCCTCGCACCATGCCCTTAAACTGGCCCTTTAATTTGGCTCGTTTTCTGCAGATAAAAAACAAATGTTTGAATGTGATATTTTGTAAACAATAAGTGTTCCAACCCAGTGACTTTTTTCCTCCGTACCTGCGGTTGAGCTGGTCTTTCTTCAGAGGGATGTAGGCGTAAGGATCCAACTTTCCTCTCCTCTTCACGTCTCCTTTTCCTTTCTGGGAAATAAGGGATGACAGAGGAGATGCTCAGAAAGATGCTTCATGATAAAAACATTCTCAGGTTTATGTTTGTGTTTTTCCTCAGTCTCACCTTTGACTTATAATCAGCTCCGATGTCTTGACTTTCTCTCAGAGGTCTGTGGATACCTGAGCCTCCGGCTGGGTTAAAAAAAGAAGTTAAAATTAGTCTAAAACTATAATTTCTCACAAAGCCGGACCTCATCAGCCGGCTTCAGCACTGTGTCTGTGGTAGATGACAGGTTTTTCAAACCTTTATATTTTAACTGAGGCTCCATGTCCATGTCTTCATCAAAGTTGTCATACTGCGTCTTCCTTTTCTGTGTCTTTTTCTGGAAGAAGGCAGGAAGAGAAAAGAAAAAGTAGTTTAATTAAAACCAGACAGAATCATGTCTTTACACCAGCCAGAAAAATCACACCCACATGCATCGCACACATGTAACTACTCACAGTCTTGACGCCCGCCTCCTCCAGAATATCTTTCATTTCTCCCTCATCTGTCAGAGCAGTAATAAGTCAGAGTCACAGCTCAATGACAGACAGGTCAAGGCACAGAGCGCCGGTTGTCTTATCTCACCTTTGTCTTTCACGTCCTCCTCCTCGTCGTCTTCTTTGATGATTAGTCGTCCGTCTGAGGTCACTCTGAAGCCGTGCTCCACCTTACTGCTCTTTTTCAGTCCTGGGTTTGTAGCTGAAAAACAAAGAAAAAACTGTTTGTGTTCCCTCCGTGTACAGGCAGCAGCTACAGATGTAGAAAGACTCAGATGTTTCTCTCCGTTACCTAAAACTCTCTGGGATACTTTAGGATCCAGGAAGTTGAGAGGGTCGTCTCCCTCTCCTTCTCTGAGCCACGCCTGTCCTTTCTTCTGTTTGACTTTCTTCTTCTGAGCTTTTCCTTCATCCTCTGACAGATCGCTGTCCGAATCTGCCAGGATCTCTTCGATACTTTAAAAAAAAGGACAAAAATAAATAAAGGGACATACATGCAGTAATATTAAATAGACAGTAGGGGGCACTCGTACCTTTCATTCTTGACCTTCGGCTTCTCATCTTCACTCTCTGAGCCGTCATCCTGCTCTGACACCTCCTTGCGTCTCTTGGTGCGGGCCTCTGCCTTGCGGATGTTGACCAGCACCTTGTGGTGTTCTGCAGGAAGCATGCTCTTCACCAGCTCAAAACTGGAAACAGAGCAAATAAAATGTTTATTATTGATCTGTAACTTTCAAATACAATAATTCAGAGGCCTTAAGGATACAAGTTAAATCCTTACCCAAATTTCCTGATGAACTTGGTGAAGACGTTCTTCAGTTTGGTCCTGAAGTGTCTCCTCACGTCGTCCTTGATGTTTCCAATGCCCTCCATCTGAGCACAGTGGGTTAGAGCACGTTGAAAGTTTGATTTTTCAACTGCTGATGAAAAATAAACAAAACAAAAAAAAAACAGGATCCCTCACCATGACGGTAACATGTGAAGCCAGGGTCTTGGGCTCCATGATGAAGAGGATGACCTTGATGAAGCCCAGAGCTGCTTTGACTATCTCTCTGGTCCGAGAAGACAGGAGCAGGCAGATGTTGTGAAGGAGCTGCTCCATGGTTTGCACCTCTATAGAGTCTGGAGTAGAAGGTTGACATCACTTCTTCAATCAAAACACCAAACACCTCAATGGGAATCTCTGATCTTTCTGACATTATCTGCTCTGAAAACACTGGCCCATGACATGGAGCTGAAAACAAAAAACATTTTTGTCACCTTTATACTCAAACACTATTCGTGTCAGGGCCAACACTGTGCAGGTGATCATGGTGACGGAGCCGGTCAGTCCGGTGTAGACCAGCAGTAAATACTCATCCATGGCATCTGTAGCAGAGACAAATATTCACTCTGTAAAATAAATAAACCTTCATGGCTCAAAAATAACAAAGTGGGAGAAAAAAAATGAACCTTTTTTGTTTCCACAGAAGCGAACAAACATGTTTCCGATCTCCACCAGCAGGGTGTAGGCGTTTTTACGAGCTCCGGCCGAGACTTCCTTCGTGCATATGATCACCTGATAGAGGAAGTGGTATTAAAAAAAATACTACATGTACTTTTGTGTTTTTCGTATGTACCATATTGTATAATTATGTATCTGGAAAAAGTGCAATGGTCTGGACTACATGACCTGACTGTATGAAAACATGCAGCTAGCTCGTTAGCTGTTTTTAGCTTTAGCACAGGATTACGACATCAGTGGTGCGACGGTGCTGCATTCAATGGTCAATTTATCAAGTTGAAAACTTTGTCGTGACTCAGTGTTGATTGTTGTGTGTGTGTGTGCGTGTGTGTATTCATTCTGTGTACCTCTGGCAGCAGAGCAGTGATGAAGTCTTTGTGTTCTTCACTGAGCCTTTTCACAATGTGACAGAGACACTTGAGTCTGGGCTGAGAAGAGGAAAAAAACCCACACCAGACAGAGAGGAATTCAAAACACTAGTCTTCAAGGGAATTTAGTCAGAATCCCAAATTTTCCTGTGCACCACACCCGCTTCGCTGGTGAAGAGGCGTTCTTCAAAGTCTCCAACAGGACAACTTTGAGTGTTTCCAAATTTTCTACAACAAACGCCTTGCACTCGTCCCTCTCTCCTCCACACATCTCCTCCAGCACACGGTACGCCTTCTTCTGCAGCCCTGGGTCCTTGGTCTGAACACATGCAGCCACAGGCAGGGAAATGAACAGTCACTGTTATAAAGAAAATAATTGAATAATCAATAAGTATGACTTGAACACACAGCTTTACCTCCAAATACGGTCGAATCAGCCCAAAGGTTTTAGTCATGGTGGCCTCGTCCACAAACGGAGCCAAGGCAACAACCAGGTCCATCATCGACAGCCTGCAGGAAAGAAGGAAAGAAGGAAGAAAGTGAGACGGAGGAGCTTCAGGCTGTAAAAGTGAGACAGAGGAGCTTCAGGCTGTACACAGTAATATACACGCTTTTAATAACAAGACTTAGTTCACAGTTTTATCATTTGATCACATTGTTCAACCTTCACAAATTAACAGTACAAACATTTTACTGTCTTACAAACTTAATGGAAATCTGTTAGTGATTCATTTTTGTAACAGTGTTTCACTGAGCTGTGTCCAAAACAATTTGAAAAAAGCTTTTAGACTTAAACAGGGAACATCTGAAAAACGCATCGTTCATTTCTCAAATCAATATTTTTTATTTGTCTAAAGTCTTCACGAGTCAAATGTCATCATCTGTGTTCGTGTCCTACCGTGTGAACTCGTTGGTGTCTGCGCTGCTCAGTTTGTCTGTGGCTTTCTGCAGGAAGGTGCAGGTCATCTGAAAAACATTTATTTTCAATCAGTGTTACGACACAAAGGTTTCCCAGGAACTACTGGTACTCGTTCCTGGAACAGTTTAATCAGTGCCATCAGAGCTGAACAACGAACACATGTTTTTTTTTTTTTTTTAGATGTGCGTTTTTGCCTATTACTTCATTGTAAAAACCTGACTGACCTGCGTCTCAGTGACAGTGAGGTAAACCTTGATGGTGTCCAGCACAGCCATCCTGTAGGTGGCACACTCTCCAGCTGCAGGCTGCTGGCTGTAGACATTGAAGAGAATGGGCAGGAAGTTCTTGGAGAAGCGACCCACTTCGGCCTTCTCCTCCTCTGCAGAGACGATGTGAACATGTTTTCATGTTAATCCACGAGTGACTTTAACTAAATACCTTCATCCTTTGTAAATGTGACTTTGAAATTTCAAAAAACAAACTGACAAAAAAAAACATTTGGACCATAGCTTTATAATTGATCTCCCTCGTCTGGTATGCGTAACATTTTTTATCAAAAGAAGCTTCACCAGCATCTGTGTGTTCTCACCTGTTGAGCAGCTCTTGTTGATGAGGGCACGCAGAGCCTGGCACACGATGAGCCTTAGGTCCGGCTGTTCATTGATGGCCATACCCAGGATGCGGGCGATGCCTTTGAAGGATGCAAGAAGGTCAACTGGACACGTACAGAAGCCGGGGAGCATGGTCCAGATCTATAAAAAAAAAAAAGGTGGTCAAACAGTGTGTAAAGTAACATTTCTGCACCAGGTTTGTGTGATTATTGTTGCAGTTACGAGTGTGAGTGTGTGTGTTTACCTGCAGCTGTAGAGTGTGGTAGACTTTGGCCTCCAGTTTCTGTCCTCCTTGTTCCAGCTCCTCACCTGCAACAGAAGAAAGGGGTCTTTAGAGAAAAAAAAAAAAAGAACTACACTTACTCCAGCACCAACACACTTCTCACCTCTCTGCTTGAGTGTAGATGCCAGAGGGAGGAAATAAGAGGTGAAAAAACCCAGGTGTGTGTTCTTCACATGGTCCCGGATGACCGGCACCAGCCAGCTTCTGGGGAACTCCAGGTCATCACTGGTGAAACAATGTAAAAAAAAATTAAAATAAAAAAATCAGTTGAACCTGGTTGATGTCACATGATGGCAGCTGATAAAGAAAAGAGTCTTTGCTCTTACTTCATGCCAGTGATGTTGAGTGGAATGGCAGCCAGCACCAGCTCCGGTCCCATGCTCTCCACAGCTGCTCCGATGGCGAGGTCCAACTCTCCAGTGAAGGGAAAATGAGGCGTGGCACGCAGGTCGGCCAGAGACTGCAGGGACTGATCAGAAGACAACAGCCCAGAGTCAACATTTACCTCCTCAACTAATGGACTGAACGTGTCTTTTCAACAAAGTCGTGCGACTGTACCTTAGTCATGACAGCGTGAGCCTTCTTTCCTGCCACTCTGTAAAAACAGGCCAGAATCTGCAGCACAAATGGCCAAGAGGCGTGGAAACGATAAGACAGGCCCTCCTCCACGATCCTGTGTCACACCAACACATACACACAATCAGCAGCAGTATTGAGTTGATCCAGTTTCCAAAGGAAGTGGGGATCAATAAAAGTGCAGTGTCCTGAGAACTTACCTGAACATTTTACAGATATAAGCAGGACTTCCTGCAGAGGCTGTGACGCTGACGACACCGATTTCATCCAAACAAGGAGAGACGCATTCAGTCAGCAAATTCTGAAGAAAAAATAAATAATAATAATGAAATAAATAAAGTAATTAAATAATAATGGAGAGGATATAGGGTAAAAGTAGTCATGAAAAATGTATAGATACAAAGTTGAGAAAAAAGGATCAGCCCAAAAATATCATGACTTGCACTTATTATTATAATAAAAGTAATTTTTACTTTGATGGTGCTGGCAGCTGCTGACACCACCTGTGTGTGGGGTGACAACAGACAGGACATGGCAGCAGGGAAGAAGCGAGGGAGGTGACCCAGACTCAGGGAACTCTGCAGACTGGACCGAGACGAGTGTGTAAAAATCACAAAAGGACACTGCGAGTGAAAACATAAGGTAAATATATTTTCTTACCTTGCCAGATGAACGTGTGCCTTCTCCATGACAGCAAGCCAGGCCAACAGAGGCTGCAGGTCGTTCTCACTGGGCAGGTAGTCGTACAGAGCCTGGGATGAGGGAGGGAGAGAAGATGAGTTTTTATGTCACATGCTACAAAACCTCTGCCATGACTGTCCTCCCTCACCGTAATGATTTGTGCATTGAGCTCAGGTGAGAGGGTCGAAGGGTTTGGTTTCCCACTGAACAGCTTATGGAACCCCTGCATGGCACTGGCCGTCACCAGCTACGGGGGGGGGGGACCAAGTTAAAATAAAAAATAATGTAACAAATCACAAATTTAGAACAAGGTTTGTACACTCCAAATATGATAATGTGTAAACAACAACAACAGTTTCCAGAGACCAACCAATCAGGAGCACAGACAGACTTTGTTCAACTCAATAATGGGTGCCTGAGACATTCACAGATACCTTCAGCTGAGTGACCACTCAGGGACTAAGGGTTAATGTTTCTACATCTACACTATACTAAGGGTTAATGTTTCTACATCTACATGCTGTTCTTCTTCTCACCACATGGCTGAGTGTCATCACACGCAGCAGCGTCTCACAACAGGACTTGACGGCTGCCAGTGGAAACGTCCCAATCAGCTCCTTGAGAAGACCCAGAATGTGAAGTGTAGTGGTGTCCTCTTTAGTGCCTGATGAATAATAATAATTAAAAAAACATTTAACACAATTATAACATGTTCAGAAGCCACAGAGAAGTTGAATAAAACAGTGTTTTACCTCCAGCCTGCTCCATTTCCTTGATGCAGAACTTGGCCGTGGTCGCTGCCGCCGGGTGATGGGTCGGAGCGTTGTCTGTGAACAGGAAATCACTGCCTCTGAGGATGGAGCAAACACCTTGTTGTGCTGCCTTCCGTACCTAGAAGAGGGAGAAATATTAATATTTATTTTCAATTTTGGGAAGAAAGTGAATTTTGAACTCAACACATGTTGATGATGATGATGATGTTGATGATGATGAGACAGACCTTTTTTTTGCTGTGCACAGTGAAGCTGAGGAGGCCATGATAGACCTGCAGAGTGGAGGGATACGTCCACACTGAGGCGTCCTGCTTCCTTAACAGCGTGGCCAGGCATGACAGGATCTGTGGACAAGGAGTTTAAAGAAATCAGCAATGAACAACTGAGGAGCAAACGGTGCACAGACAGACCAACTCACCCATCTCAACGCCGAGGCCGTGTCCGTCGTGGCCTGCTTAGACATGACGTCCATTAGCGCTTTCGTGGTGTCTGAGAACTTTGATATGAGCACAGGAGTCGGAACCCTAGGCAGAAGAATACAACATTTATTTCATTAGCACCGTCATCATCAACAGTTAATAAGAGTGTGACAAGTCTAAGACGCCCAACCTTTTTATGACCAGGTTGAGAAGATACGCCACTGCAGCCTGCGACTCTGCTGAATCCACCACCTCTAGAGTGGTCATCTGTTTAAACACACACATTTCAAGCTCTCAGAAACTGTGGCTACAATAATTCTCCATTTTAAGGATGACTTCAATGAACAGAAAGGAAAAGCAGAACTCACCAAAGCAGCAAAATACTCCGTCTCTGTCTCCTTTCCTCCTTGACCACGAATCACCTCAGTCACTGCTGCCAACACTGCACATATCTGTGAGCAACGTTTGATTTCATGTTCAAAATGTTCACTGTCATACAGTACAGAAACATGTTTCCTTGTACAATTAAGTTAACTTTCACTGCTGTTTAATTTTTTTTTTTTTTGTAAATAACTTTTAAAATTTCCTCATGACAACCTCACAGACTGCTTCACCTCTTTGTGAGCGGCTGAATTTGACTCCCAGTAGCGCTGCACCTTCCTGAAGGTGAGGTTGGAGCAGTCCGACAGCCCACTGAGGAAGGTGGCCGAGGTTCTCTGTGACCCCGACTCATCAGGCTCGTCTTCCATAAAGGCATCTTTAGGAGCTCGAGTTGTGCTGACCTCCAGCTGACCAGACTGCAGCTCATTGTGCAACTTCAGAGCATCAACCGTTAGGTCACTGTTAACTGTGACGGGGGAAAAAAACATTAGCAATAAATGCATGAAAAGCACGAGAAGCGACTGGGCGATACTGAATATGACTGACACCAAAGCTTTCTGTTTGTTTTGTTTTAAATAGGAAATGGTATTTATCTATGATGGAGTGGCTTTGGAAAATATGAGCAGTAGTCCTGCCAAATTCACTTATATTAGATGGCTAACAAATTGTTGTTGAGGCATAAATAAAATACTTTTAAGAAATAATATTTCAACACTGATGTAGAAACTTAATTATTTTCATACTCCATTTTAACTGTATTCTAAAATGGCTCATTTGGGAAATGACCCATGTTTGTTTCTATGTTTGGCTCTTGCTCACACAAACATTCACTAGTATTGTGTACAAAAGTTGCATTTTCTGTCTGACAGACTACTTTAACATAGCATTTGACGGAGTTGGTAATTGCCCAATCATTTATGTCTTGTTTTGGTGACACGCAAGAAATGTCGCTGTGTTTTCGGGGCTGAGTGAAGTTAAATGCTAACGTCGGCTAAAGTTAGCCGAGACTGGCCTGAGACCCACGTGTAAAGAGCTGGGACTCACCGGAGGGTCTGCTGAAGAAGCGGCTTTTAGCTGCCTGTCGAAAGCGGCTTGTCTGCGGGTTGGAGTCGCTGCTGTGTCCTTTTTTCCACCGTTTGAGTTTCGACCCGGTCCCGGATCGCAATTTCCCCGATTTGACCATTTTCGGGGTGGAAATTAAAGCGTTACTCAAACACACCGAGCAGACTCGAGTACATAACTTGTCGCGCAATGAGTGACGTCAAGGAACAGTCTTGCATGCCTAATGTAGTGAGACGTGTTTGACACTAGAGGCCGCTGTTTGCTGTCCAAAAATACAAGGCTATTACAAGGGACACTTACAAGGGAAACGCATATTTTAGATTCAGTATTCACTTAAGGGTTAACCACAATATAGACAACATATAGACAGCTAAATACATGTTTATAAGAAAAAAGCACATTCAAAACAGTCTTAAAATGTTACTCTTTTATTGCCTTGGTCACATTTTGAAATAAACAATGGTGAACAGACACCGTAGAATGAATTCAGTGGCATGACTTAGCCCTGGAATACTGAATACTCCATTTTAGCTCCATCTCAAAATGGAAAACATATTTTTACTAAATAAATAAAACAAAAGAGGAGATAGAAAGACAGATGGAAATAGGAAGATGGATATTCCAAGCAGAAATAAATGTAATTAATAAGTGAGCAATGGTACAAATGAGCCTGACAATGAGGTGAATATAAGTAAATAAAAGCTTTGAGTTTAGTCCATACAAACACAGACAAACATCCAGGTGTGTAAATGAAGTCTCTACTGTTACTGTTAATCTAAAGTGCTTTTTTTATTCATTTGGAAAAAGGAAAATACAAAAAGGAGCAATATAAAAGCAAATATTTCTTTAAATATATTTATAAAAAATGTACATAAAAATCATTACCAACTGGAAAACAATGACAAGCTCTACAGCTCCTCCTGCCACTCTCTGTGGCACATCCTTGGTCTTTCCTTCACCTTGCAGCAGTCCGTCTCAGTCCTCAGTCAGTGATCACCGTGGGGTTCACATTCACAATCACCTGGACGACGAAATCTTTCTGAATCTTGGTGTCTTGCAGGCAGGTCTTGTCGGTCAGGAGCTTCCCAGAGAAGAACCACCTTTGACGGATTATCTCAATTGCTTCTTGTTTCTCCAACTGTTTCTTCAGCTCAGCGATGGAGTCTTCCATACTGGCCGTCAGACGCACATCCTTACCTGGAAAAAACACACACACACAGAGGGCATAAATAGAGTTGACAAATAGTGCTGGGGTCGTGTAATAAGTGTGGACGAATGTTGACGGAAAAACAACTTAAAAGCAACACAGTGACAGAGTGGTTAGCGCGTTTGCCTTACAGCAAAGAGATCAGAGGTTAAATCACCAGTGATGTGAGCAATTGTTTGTCTTTATGTTTTGCCCTACGATTGACCCCTTCCAACCCCCCCCCCTCCGGACACACACACACACACCCCTGACTATCATGGCAAGGATGTAGCAGTGGAAGATCTCAAGAGCTCAGGACCGTCTGGCTGCACATATTCATATCCCTTTAAGAGCTATCTGTGTTTACAAGTAGAAACCTGCCTCCACTCTTCCAGGAAATGTTGCTTTCAAGGCCACACAGTAAGTGAAGTGTAGACTGTGTGTAGTTTATTTCTTTCCTTCTTGTGTGTACAGTATGAGTTTGCAGGTTTTGTCAAGTGTGACCGTGAGGGTATGGCTAAATGATTAATATGAAATTATTTCCATTCCAGTGTCAGTGGATTTTTTTAATGGATGTTTAAATCCACAAAAATCTAATATAGTCTGTATACGTTAACGGCCAAAACTGTCATTTACCTGACGATAGCCGTACCCTCAGCTGGAACTCTTGTCGACACGCAGGGGTTTGAGCTTGTTTTTGAAGTGATTCAGAAACTTTGCTGTCATTCGATGATTCCCTAATGAGGTTGACAGGTGGCGCTAAAGTGTACGCCGGCAGCTGGTAACGGTTTCCCAGTTCATCATAACTCTCTGTCAGGGAACCTGCAGAAAATGAGAAAAAATTGTCCTGTTCTGTGAAGCATATTAAAAAATAATCTTTTTAAATATGACTTCACAGGTGATACAATGACATCAGCACCACAGCAGACCGTGACCTACTGGATCAGGATTAATCTGAGGATTGTTGGTTCAAATGCCTGCCTTGGCGGTGTAGTAGTTAGGAGCCCCTCCAGCATCAGGAGACATGTGCCATTACCATTGCATCAGTCCCTGCACTGTGGTCACGCAGTCCAGCGACCATTATATAACTACTACAGCAATAATCTCTGAACAACTGATGCCAGGGATTGTAGGAAATGTCTTTTGACTTTGTCAGATTTATTTTCGTGACTTAGGAATTTTATGCTGGAAAGTCTGAATAAATCATGTGTTCATATTTAGGAGAGGGTGTGTGTGTGTGTATGTGTGTGTGTTCATACTGTACCATGTGGCAAAGTTATGCAGGCTCCATCCACTATGGCCTGCGCCAGTTCCAGGTCATTGCACTCTGCAGCCAGAGCTGCTGCTCTAAGTGCATCCCAGATCTCTTTCCGCCCATCAAAGGCTGGAGCCGTATCCCAGAATTCATCCCTCTTACTCCTCAGCTGGCCCTCCGTCATGGGGTATTCGCTCTTCCATTTCGGACGTTCCTTCTTGAGTGGCTCGTTTCGTCCTGTGAAGAAAAACAAGGTGCTGTGCATTCTGGTTCTGAGTCTGATTGAGAAGGAAATCAAACAAGTTAAGAGTCAAGAGAAAAGTTTCAGGAAAAAAATGGACGATAACAACTAATAATAATAGGTATATATTTTGTAGTGGATGAAAGCCAAGGAGTTCTGACTTTGATCTGTGAGTTAGTTTTGACATTTAATACACCACTTGGACTTTAGGTCAGGAAATGTCAATATATATATAATGTAGAACTTATACCTCAAGTTTACTCTTCTTGGATTTTTGAGATTTCAATTACTATGACTCGCTTCCTTTCTCTCAGGATGCAGTGACTGATTTAAGTACCACCTTGTGACCCAGAAACAACTTGAAAACTCATGTTTCCACTTTCATTATGACAGGAAAATAACTTTAACTTTAACCTCTTTTGATCAGGTATAATACAAATGAAAAAAATCCAAATCAACAAAACCCCATTACTTCAAATACACATTCACCCACTTGTTTCAATACATATAGTTCTGATGGTGGGCACCTACTTTCATCTGGGACACGTTACTAGTTTGAAGTCCTGCAGCACACAAACAGCTACAGCCACTACTCACATTAGACCATTCCATTTGAAGCACAGACTGAGGACATTAATATGTATATTTACTTTGCTGCAGATTACTACAGTGGCTGGAAGCACACGGCATGTGCTCAACACACACACATATACACAGTGGATAGTGGATTATACGTGGGCAGTAATCCGTCTCTACATAACAGGATTTATCTTCCACTGTCCTGGATAAATGGACACTCACTGACCAATGACAGGCTGCAAAGACACAACACAGCACACAAAAAACTACAAATGGACACAAATTGTTCATAAGTAAAAATATAAATCTTTTTATACCACTGACAATACTGTACTGCTGTGACATCTGACCTTTAGAAGCACTGCCAATATATTTTGAAGGAATGACAGTCAACATGACACCTTAAATGACCTGTTTGAATACATACATGTGAACTTAGGATATTGTGTCGCATATTTAACTTTTATTTTGTAAAGGTACAAAAAAGGTAAAAATAAAAAGGTAAAAATAATAAAGTAAAAAGGTTCATTATGGAAACATGTATTATTGATGAGTTCATAGATGTAGTACGACAGCACGGCTGTAAACTAAATACAAGCAGTTTGGAGGAGCATAGAAAAAATCTATGGCATTAACAACCTCATATTCACTGAATTAAATAAAATGACCAACTTCATCAGCACTTTCTGGCCTTTACACAAAAACAAAAAACAAACAAACACAGAGAAGCAGACACGTTCATCAATACTTACTTTTCAACACAATCTTAAAGGATGTATCTGGAGCATGGTAGTAGTTATACTCTCTGGAGTTTGGTACTCCCATCACTGACGTATGAGACACAGTCAGACTATCACATTCACCAAACGTCGCCCACAGTGAGCCACAGTCATGGATGAAAACACCAGCTGTGTCCAATCAGTTTAGAGCCACTCTCCACAGCAGAAGACAAACCCACCTGGTCTGGGGTTTTTTCAGATGTGCAGATTTCAAGCTGTGCTGACTATTGTGACCCTTTGTTCAGCTAGCTAAAAATGACCACAACTTGTTCCACTTATACCTCTTCTAAAAAAAAAAAAATCTGACTAGTACCATAAATACCATCAGAACAATTCGTAGAAAGACGAATGGGAGGATGTTTGAGGTGAGTGTCTGAGACTGGAGATAAGTCCCTTTCACAAGAGGCCCTAATCCTCTCAGCACTATTTAGACAAGGGATAAAAATACCCAAAGGCAAACGGTTAAACCAATTATCATCCAACAAACCCCCAATTGTGGAGAGCCTTCTAGTACGTTTGAATGAGTCAGGGTTAGACCTGTCCTTCTGTACAGTTTACATTCTTTTTAAAAGTGTTTTTTTTTCATTTATTTCTGCTTTCATCAGTGGATGCCATCAGGCCAGGGATGAGTTACACTCTAGCCAGTCGTGAATTTTCAACCACACATCGCCGCAATGAATAACCTGGCAATTACTAAAAGACAGTATAATTCAGATGCTGTTTTCTGCCAGGTGAATTTAATCTATATGTAAATATTTCCTGCAGAAAAGGTAACTCACATTGCATACCAAGTCAGTCCATAACTTCTCTGATTTGTTTATTTGATTTGTAATGTATGAAAATCAAACTGTTCTACTAATAGAGGATAAACTCACAGACATTATGCAAAATGTTCTAGTGCTACCCTTTACAAAAGATTGAAGGACAGTGCGACTAAGCCATGGTGATTTACATCTGACTCAGAAAGCTTGGAAAACAGTTCTTTAGACAATGCTTACATATGATACAATGCTTTTATCTCTAAAATCTGGTAACTACAGTATACAGTACCCATCAAACGTCTCCTTTTACAGTATACAGTACCCATCAAACGTCTGTCAATTCTGACCCATCACTTTAAACACTGACTGAAATGCAGCCCCAAACCACTGCTGAGCTTCAAGCTTGCCAACCATAATCTTTCTCTGTGCCTCCTTCTGTTAAACTGACATTGATTTGAGTCCAAATATGAAACCTCACTCTGAAAGATGGCATATACTGTACGTCAGCATATACTACTATATATTATTTTTTTTCTGTACAAACTACTGGGCCAAAAAAAACAACAACAAAAAACTCAAGTCCTCCAGGTGCAGATCCTTAGTTTATTTTCCCATATTTTCCTATGGAATCCACAATGATTATGTATTTTTTAATTGTATTTCAATGTTTTGCTAGGCCAGTGGTTATCTTCAATTTCAATTGATAGCAATATGATGTAGATTTTTCTTTCTCAAATGAAATGACTTTTTATATGACTAATTTAATAAGTGAAGAATTCTTACACAGTGCACCACACGCTCACCTCCACGTTTCTTGCTCCTTGTGGTCCGGTCACTCCCTGATCCATCCGTCCTACTCCTGCCCACACAGCCCCCCATCACTGCCCCTACATGACACACCGAGAACAGCAGCCGTATAAATGTACTGCATGTGCGATGACAATGACAATAGCATTAAGTTCACATTAGGTCTTGATGGAGGATGAATGAAAAGGTACAGAAGGTCAGGTCAGGAGCATCACCGCCATCAGGGAATAATGACAGCTGAGCACGCCACGTTCCTGTTTACGTCACGTGTACTGCCAGCTGACTGGGACACTCGCTCCTCATTCTCCTGTCACCTTCCCAATGTTTATCTATTTATCATTTATCTTTTCAGTTACTCTTTTTATGCAATACGTACACTAGCAAGTGTCAATTAATGTGCATTTGTACTTCTAATGACATTTTGTGCAGCTTTAAAAACGTACATTTAGTATCAGTATATTTTAAAATGTAATTACTCACCAGAAATCCAGTCTGTTATATTGTGCATCCGTCTGCAGTTTCCTCTCCACATCCGAACTTGGCTTTTGTGAAATTATCACTGCGCGATCAGCAGCAGCTGCAGTCAGTCATTCAGTTTGTCAGTCTGTCAGTCAATGCGATGATGCCGACCAATCTGAGCCTGCAGGAAATCTCGACTGACTTTAAAACAATGTCATCAACATCCGTATTCCCATTTAAAACTCAATGAAACCACCCCACGCGCACGATCCCTGTGGTCTGAGTTGGCATTAAAGTAAGGTGCACTAATGTGCTGTGCAGGCAGGTGGCTCTGTCATGGTCGACATATTAAGAGCAGAAACGGACTCCTTCACATTAACACCGGAAGTGGTGACAAATACAGACATGAAAAAAGAGGCGGGGTGTGATATCTCAGCCCGCCCCCTGAACTTCTTTTGTTTATTATGAAAGTTCAGCAACCGGAAGCGTCTAACAGGAAGTGATGTGTTGATGAGCGTGCATGGAAATTGCTGTTAGCCAAAAAGCATAAAAGCCAATTTGACGTAATTAAATTTGTTTGAAAGAAGCTTTTAGTGATTGGAAATCTGCTATGGTAACCAAAATTTGATATTAATTCATAAAATATTCCAGTGGTGGCAAGTTTATGGCCAGTCTTGATCAAAAGAAAAACATATAGCTATTTACAATCAATTTAACTGAACAATTAATGGAATTCAAAAGGATTTATTGTGGCCCAGATCTTTTTATCCCTTAATTTCAATCTCGTTCTCCACCAGGACCACTATCAGTTTTCTTGTATGTTCTATAATTTGCTTGTGTGTTTTTGCATCATAATTCCAGTGTCCAAACCAAAGGACATTAACACAGATATGTGAGCAGATGTCTAATCTGCTAATAAAATAAAAACAGTACTTTGTGATATAAATAAATTGGTGACCATGCCTGTAGTACAATTCAATTAATGACAAAATAAATACAATCATATTAAACCAATTTAATTAACTTACCAAGTACAAAAACACATAAATAGCAAATTGTCATGAAGCTTATTTTCTCCTCGAGGGTTTGAATCAAATGATAATATTGGACTGGCTAGCAAATGATAGAGGAAAATGAAATTATTTATATTATGAGCTTCTTTTTTTTCCATTTTCCTACAGAAATGTCAGTTTTAAATAACATTCTAAATTTAAATTTCTACAGTGACAACAAGAGAGCATGGTTTTTGTAACTAAAGATGTTGTTCACTTAACACGAATGTGGTCTGGACACAAATTTGAAATCAAGCGATGTTACTCTGTACATCAAACTTGTGTGGAAACACAAGATTCTCAGTCATCCGGGTCATAGTCAAGGTTGAAGAGTTCTGTTAGTCAACTGGACGTGAGAAATTCCACATCCATTCGCCTAACAGAACTCTTCAAGCTCCCACATCAAACTTGTGGCATTTAAACTGTGGAAAAATATATGTAACAGACAATGTTGCAGCAATTTTGAGGTATTGGAGATCGACATTCATCATACAGGTATCAAGTCCTGTTTGAATGGAAAAAAGTCCCACGTCATCCCGTCACCGTATGGAGGATGTCCAGAAGGAAGGAGAACTCGCGTCACCCAGTGACTAGGAACAAAAGATAATACTCATTGTTTAAAAAAAAATTAAAATCCCAAAATCATTAACAATAAAACCAGGAAACATTAAAAGAAAATCCCCATCAAAACCCAGGAAAACACACCTTTTCTTCTCCACACCCAGAAAAACTTTCCAGTTATTTAGCTTGCCATAGTTGAAGGGGTTTTTGTAAATCTGTCACGGATGTAAAAAATAAATTAGATGTTATTTTAAATTAAAAACCTTTTTTTAATATATTTTATGCAGTCATCACACTATCCTACCTTTCCTTGCTTTGTCATCCGCTTTGCTTCCTTCTTGTTGATATGTCTCTCTATACTAGTTTCACCTTTAGATATGAGAAGGCCGTGCCATATTGTTAGAGCTCCCATGGCGACTCCAACTGTGCTGAGAAAACAAAAAACAGCACATTTTTTTCAGTGTCAAAGTGGGCACCAACTAACTCCTCCGGTTGTCAATTTAATTTCTATGTTAATCAAATGTAATAGTTGGATTTGCCTTGGAACTGTTTAAAAAACACTTGTGTTCTTTCTATTTCTTACTGGTGTTTTTCAACTAAAGCAATATTTAAATAAAAATGCATTTTAACCCCAGACACTTTATTATCAGTTCATTGTACGCAACTCCTTGTAGAAGCTCCTTAATTTCTTAGCTTTAATGTAGCAATAACAGCTAAACCAGCCCATGAATAACCAAGTGATTACACGTCAAGGGATATCACAGTTCAGTTAGTTAAAGTTAGCACAAAGATACCCAAAAAATATGTGGAATATTTTACACTTGCATATTTTACCTGGTAAGGACCCACATGTAGATGATGCTCTTGTTAATCATCTTGTCCTTTAAGGTATAGACTGGTGCAGAGGTGTCCCCATTTGTCTTCAAAAAAATTAGAAGAAATTAACAATATACTACTAGGTAAACTAATACAATATTATAGAATTGTTCTGTGGATCAACAATGTACCTGCGCAGCAGACAGCAGCCCTACAAGAAGTCCCAAGTTCCCTGTTATTGCTACCCCTGGCTTGTCCATATCCAAATGCTTCAAGCGCTAATAGAAGAACCCACAGAGAACCACCACGGGTTAAACCTCCAGTAACGGTAAAACACAGTCAACCACCATGAAAGAAGACACCATTCAGAAACAGAAGAAGCCTAACATGAAATAATTCAAAGACCAATAGAGCAAGTAGCCTTGCAGACAAAATCAGGTTAAAGGTATTTCAATAATCTGGAAAGTCTCACCTCATGTGCGTTGTATGCATCCAAAAACAAGTTTCTGCCACTGATGGTGCAGTAAAAGCAGCCCAAGGTCATGAAAAGGCAGTAGGAGAAAAAATAGCGGTGATTAAAATGGCCCACACAATTATTTAGCCATGCTAGAATGGTAACATTAAGGAAAAGAAGAATTTCTTCGCTGTGACTTGATTTTTCTTATGATAGAATTTAAGTCCAACCCAAAGGATACGACAATGATGGTCCATTTTCAGAATGCATCTGCAAAGAAAAATATTTTTTTTCAAAAATGCTGCAACATTGTCCGTTTCATCCTAAATAGAAGAAAAATTATTTACCTGTTACAGATGCCACAGTGGTGTGTTCTCGCTGGTTTGGGCATGATACATTTTTTGCAGATGGACACAAATGGAGAGTCATTTTTTTCCTGGATAAATAAGACATTTAGCACTGCATCAGGAAATGTTAATAGTAAACATAATAATCACATGTGATGAAAAGCGGAAAAGTTGTGTTGCTCTTTTACTTTTGGAGGACCCCCAGGTAAAGTCTTTGCAGCTTTATAGTAATGAAAGCTAATCATTACTATGATCCAATTTCCATAACAAAGATGCCAAAGAATCCATAACGGTGTGTATGTGTTGAGGACCAGCGGCAGTAGGACTACATAGGCAATCACCATGATGGAGCTGGTTAGTATAACCACCAGACAAACAAAGACCTGCCAGAAAAGCACAGCCACAGAAGATTATTTAAGAAAAAAAACATCCTTTTGCTCAATTTGTTCAAAACGTACACAAACTCACCATCCCAAACCAACGGGTGATATAATCCACAGTCCAAAATACTGGTTCGAAGACTGAGTCAAAAACCACATCTGAGTCAGTGAGGGAGTTAAAACACAGCGACTGCATCAGTAGCCTTGTATAGGCCCACAGTTCTCTGACCCACAAAGGCAACCTGTTTCGTCCTTTTCTGGAACATGACCGTAACTGTACACAGCGCAGCAGGTGGAAGGCAGAGCCAGGACCCAAACGCATCCTGCACCTGTAAAGCATAACCCACTGCAACAAAACCATATTAATGTCGGAATTATTTTTGTACTCCATGGCTCTGTGGCACACAGATTGATTTTTAATGGTAGACTTGGCCTGCAACTACAATGTGAGGCTTACTTCAGATAGTCAACTGTGTGGCCAGAAAATAGAGCTGTGTTTATTAGTTAATAAAGTTCAGGTTAATATAACATTAACTAGAAAGCAATTTACCTTCAAATAAAACTCATTAATTCTATCTTTTATCCAATGCACAAGGGAAGAAAACTTACCCTGGATATTTCCTACTATTCCAGAACAGACAATTCTATAAGATATTTTATTTCATTTCCTGAAAACAACATTCTCTGCCAGCTGATAATTATTTTCAGAAGGTTCTTCTACAACTATGTCTAGGAAGTAACCTGACTCAGGTTTATGCCAAATGTCTGAAGGGAACCACAATCCTGTCCAGCAGCATTCTTGGCAGGGTGAGCAAGAGCAGGGTGGGGTCAGGGTGGAGGTTAAACGGTTGGTAGCTACCTGTAGGTAAAGGGCATCGCCTTGCAGGTTTTTTTAATTAGGCAAAAAAAAAAAATTAACCTCCACATAATTATAGACTGACACATTTAAGGATCTACTTAGGTTTACCATCTAATGCAGAGGGTCTATGTAATCAACTCTCATTTTACATTTAAGCATGCAGGAGAAGATTGGCAGCGGTAGCATTCAGTTATCAACAAAACATACATGGTATTTACTTCATTTGACAAATTAAAACTTCTCCCATACGGTTACCTCCATGGAAAAGGGTGATTTACTCTTCATATTTTAAGGTGTGTGTGTGTGTGTGTACTCAAAAAAGCATCAGTAAAAATCGGTTGATATTCATTTTTACCCAACACTCAACTTACATCCCAATAAAAATGCACATTTTTATTTACAAGTTAAACATAACATACATAATAACATCTGAAATCCTAAACGTCGCCAAATCCGTGTTGTTTGCAAGCCATTGTTTGGATACCTGCCCCACTGCGATGCTGCTCGTATATTTGACATGTTTTAAAATATAATACGTTTATTTTAGAGCTACTTACTGTACTATAAAGGCAACGCAGCTGTTGGAGAAAGACCTCCCTTCGACATTGCCGAAAAAGTTGTTTTTAGTTCCACATTCAAGGAAAGGAAGAGCAGGATTTAGAATATTCCTTGACAGATCTGAATCCTGATCCAATCAGTCAGTACGCATGCGTCTCGTCAGCGCCTAATGCATTGTGGTACTTTGAGTCAGGAAAAGTGTCAAACATAGATCCGTCTGCATTAATGTGCCAAATATTTTGCTATGCTACACGTCTCTTAGATTTGTGTATTTAATCATGCTTTTACGGTTTATTCAACTTTATTAAAATACACTTGGATATCCAAGACCGGTCATGTTTGCCCCCAGAACTGTGGGATTTGTAGTTTTTCTGCGAATTTTTGCTGCGCACTCTGCCATGTGGGATTGCGGCACACGATATTAGCAACATTCTGGTTTAAATATTTACCGGTCTCATACCATGTCCTTTAGTTTTAATTTCGATGTCCCAAAGCAAATTGTAAACCCTGACTTCACCCGTGAAAAGGAAGGGCACAACGAAAAAAAAGATAATGCTGCAACATCTGTAAGTAACGTAAGTTCATTGTTATATTATTTTATAAGAAACCCAAACTGTTCGACAGTACAACTCGCTACGTGTGAGACTCAATAGGTCATTAAGTGTGGACTTGCAGAAACGTTTCTTAAGACCGGCTACTGGTTGTCAATCATTCAGACTTGGTCAAAATAATATTGAATCTTCAGTCACAACTTTTGACACCACAGCACTAAGGTCACGTTGGTAATATGTGATACATTTCCCCTGAAAACAGATTGTGTCAATCAAACGTCACGTCATTTACTGCATTTAGGCGTTAAAAATATGTCAAGCAGAAAAGAAATCCCGTGGTCTGGTCAAGTATAGTTACAGGAACAGTTTGAGCAACTAGTCGGTGCTTCGTGGTTGTGAGTCAGTCTGCGTGACAGATTTTTATCAGAGGATTGTGGGAGTTCATCAACTCCTGTATCAGTACCTGGTATTAGAGAGGTTTTTTAAAAATTAAAAAAAATTAAAAATAAAACTGAATATATGTTTCAAGACCAAGTGGTTTGTTTGTTGTTTTAGTCAGTTGACACGTGGTAACTAGGCATTATAGCCCTCCAGTTATGATAAATCAAAACTCAAATTGTGCCTAGTTGTCGTCTTGGATTGTCTCTCAGTTTTTCAGCATTCTGAGCTTAAAAGTTTCATTCTGACAACATCACAGGGTTTCCCCACCAATAGTTTTTTTCATGTTATTTAAATTGTATTGGCAGCTGTTCCTCTGTTTGAGTTCAATTACTGACACCTGGTTTATTTTAGACCATAAAACATTCCCCCAAAAAATCCAATCACTTTCAAAAGGACAAAAACAAAAGGAAGAGAACACAGGCAGCAGACAGTGCAACTAAAGGTGAACAGATAATAACATATGTTTAATGGCCTATTCAAAAGTGCTGTCTAGGTATGTTGCTTGCTTAACCTGGGAAACTCCTGCGTTTTCAGTTCATCATCCACACTTCTTTTTTTTTAGAAGCAAGTCAATACAACACCATCAGAGCCGGTAAAAGAAGCCAAAGAGTACCTTCCAGTACCTGACCTACAGTTCCTTCTGCTGGATGCTGTCACTGAAACTGTAACTATTGGAACTCTTCCTCCTCTTCAGTTCCTCAACGAGACTGTTTTTGAGAAGACCTCCTCAGAAAGAGAAGATGATGAAAAAATTCTTTCTCGCACAGCAGAGCAGAGGTCTGATCTCATCTCCGGTGTGTACGAAGGAGGACTGAAAGTGTGGGAGTGCACTTATGACCTTTTAGAGCTCATCGACAGAGACGGGGAGACCTTTGAAGGAAAGACGGTCTTAGATTTGGGCTGCGGTTCTGGACTTCTGGGGATACTGGCACTCAAGAGAAGAGCCAGCAACGTCCATTTCCAAGATTATAACAGTACTGTTATTGAAGAGCTCACTGTTCCAAATGTAATTCTAAACCTTCAAGATGATGATGACGAAGAGAGTGAAGTTGAGAGAAAAAAAGGGACGGGAAAGGGGAAAAAACAGGAGGAAGACGGCACGACCAAAACGTCAACAGACAAATGTGAGGAAAAATCAGAGAGCCCCCCACCAAAGAAAAGAGCCAACGACCTGTCCCAAAACCCATTACTCACAAAGTGCCGCTTTTTTTCTGGTGACTGGAGCACATTTCTACCATTGGTTCTAAGTTCAGACCCACCAATCAGATATGACATAATATTAACCTCGGAGACAATTTACAACACAGCCTACTACCCTGCCCTCCATGAGACACTCCACAAACTGCTGGCACCAGAAGGACTCGTCTACCTCGCCACCAAGTCCCACTACTTTGGGGTTGGCGGTGGACTGCACTTGTTTGAGACCTACGTGGAACAAAGGGGTATTTTCTCTGTCCAGCATGTATGGGATGGGGACGAAGGACTCCAGAGACATGTAGTAATTCTACGTTTTCTAAAGCCAAAAGACACTTAACTCATGTCTATCAGAGGGTCTTCAACCAAAACAAATATTAAAATGATTTTTGTCATGAATAAAAAATGTTTTCAGTGACATTACTTTTCAATGACAGTGATATCTTCAATAAAAAATTGGTAATTTTTTTCATTTTCTCATTTCCTCTTTGTTGTTGGTCATATGCACCTCTTTGACTTTCTTTATAGACGTGTGAATGGGTCTTCCTCTAATTGCAGTGCTGCTGAAAAGGGGTGGCCACAGGTCCTCAGATACACACTGAGGAAGGAAGGGAAATGGGCTCAGTGACCTTTGTGAGTGCATTTCCCCAGTGTTCAAACAGCAGCATGAAAGCCAGGCTTGTTTCTGAAGTCTAGCGCAAAATGTCAATTGCAACTTATCCCTGCAGCCCAAGGATGCCGTTTGAAAGTGGTCTCTACAGTCGCTGCACAACAGCAACGTGAGGGAACTTAGAGCAGCTGTGTGTCTGTGAAACTGAAATTATTTATTCCACCTCTTCAAGTGTGACTGTCTAATGACATGGGTTTTGAAAACTAGGAACTCAGTAGTTTCGCAGTATCATTCTGGGTGTTTCTGGTGTTGAAAGATAAATGTATTACAACCCCGTCTGGCTGTTGACTGGATGAGGCTTTATATGTAGTTTTGATTCCAACTACACCTGATCTGATCCCAAAACAATATCCATCCATCCATTTTCATCCACTTTTCCGTTACCGGGTTGCGGGGGCAGCAGTCACCACCCAAATCACACTGCACCGTACCAACCCCCCTGAACCTTCCTGCAGGTGGTGAGTCCCAACCGCCCTAACCAGGATTCGATCTTGCCCAGGAAGTGAACCCGTGGGTTCCACACCAATGACAGACATTGTCTCTGGGCCAAAGCGCCACCCCTAAACAATATACTCTGACATTTTTAGTTGAATGTGAGGATGGTGTTGTGTGTGTGCAAAGCCAAATAATGGATATTGTAATCTAGGATTAAATTGTCATAAATTATTCAGGCCCAAATCACTCGAGATAAGAAATCAGGTTTTGTTTTATTCTTCACTGGACTGTTTGACAATAACCTCAGCCAAGTAAAAAAAAACCTTTTCACCTCCTTTTAAAGGAAACCAGTTAGTTATTCTGACTGGGTTTTTTTGAGGAAGTATACTGTATACAATTTCTAGTACTGTTTCTCGTATTTAGGTAGACTGAATAAAGAATGAGGAAACCAGCAGAGTTTTACACAACCAGTGAACACTACTGGTTTGATCATTACTATTTACTGAATTGTTTAAAAGCAGGGTTGAACCCTTCTGGGCCACTCCTGTCACACTCTTTAACCGGACTATGACCTGTGAGTTATTTTTGTGAATCAGTGTTTGATTAAACTGTCTTATCACACCTGACCTGTGTAATGACATCAGCTTCATGACAGTTCGCATGAATCACTCCCAACCTAAACAAACCCATGATGTAAATGGATTAAAAATAAGAAGAAAGTTTTCTAGGGAAGTAATGTCAGCAGCACCAACATGTCGCCACATGTTGCAGCCTGTGTCAAGACACATTTTCTGATCACATTGTATGCATACATTCTGTAGTATTTATCATATTAAAGATTCTCGCATACAGAACAATGAACGCGTAGTTTCTGTTTGCGTGTGCTCTGCCGGCAGTGTTCCAGTGAGACTGCCTCGTCATTCACTCTCATCTCGACAGCTGTTCGTGGCCTGTGGGGGAATTCCTAGTTCTGCGAGTAGACACAGCCTTTCCCCTGCTTACTTTATGGGAAGAGGGGGCAGGGCCGGTGAAATGGTTTTCCTCAGAAACTATTATGCGTTGATTCACTCTGAGGGGGTGTGTGCTCACTCCCACAGTTTCCTTCTTACTGGGAAGTGACACTCTGGCTTACCGTACAGAGGGAGCGTTTGAAAAACAGAAGGGAGGGAGGGAGGAAGGGAGGGAGGAGAGAAAGACAGAGAGTGGCTGATGGGTGATGTGAAAGGTGGTGGTATTTAAGGTCCTGCTCTGAATGTCAGACAGTGTGCAGTATCCTTTCTTGGCACTTGGAAGGACATGAGAGAGCCAGTAGAACATACGGGTGAGCAGCGAGAGATGTTTCAAGGTACATCCATTCAACTTGGAGAGACACGCTGGTGATTCCTCTGCTGGTGATTCCACTGCTGGTGATTCCTCTGCTGGTGATGGGACTGCTGAGGTGTTTCTATGATTGGCCCTGCTGTCCAGGCAGGCATTCTGGAGTCAGGTGTAGAACCTATTAATCCAGTATCTGGGAGGGAAAATCCTTTGGTAGGTAAAGAAGAAAAACTCAAACATTTCTACAACGAAGATTTTATACATCTTTTATTTTCACATGCCACAGATCTGTAACTTTAAAAGCTTCTGTTTCTTCACAAGGTATTTTTTAATGTGTACATTGTTTTATCACAGCTCTACCAGTTTGCTGTTTGAACAGGGCTGTTTATTTAAATACAGGCTCTAAGTCAGGGTTCATGTCCTCACTGTGGATTTCCTATTAATGAAGAGTCAATGTAGATATTGATTGTTTTCTCGTCTAAATACCGGAAAGACTGGAGTTTTCTGCAAACAATGAGGTATGTCTCCCCTCAGAATGTTCAATGTGCCATAATGCACGTATGACGTTCGTTTAGTTTAATGAGTCACAGTCACTAAGATAACGTCCAGGAAATGTCTTACTGGTGAATGTCATTGTCCAAACAAGCCTGGACTGGGGGATTTTTTTTTTTTTTTTTTGTATTAATTTGCAGTAGATCCTGTGGTGCTGGTAGTGTTTCTTTGATTCTTTGTTTTTTTTTCAGTCTTAGAATGTGTTTACTAATTAAAAACACTAATACTATAATTATTATTGTTGTTATTATTATGTATTTCACTAATATTACAGTGGGCAGTTTCATTTAATTTCAGTGGCTGTCCTGCTCTTCCAGGAACACTTGTGTTGTCAAATAATATCCCAATCTCCTGTATTATTTTATCCACTTGCCACAACAGCGTCATAATTTTTCTAACATTGGTTTTGCTTTAATTAAAAACCAATGTGTATTTAAATTAGCCAGTTTGCTAGCATTATTTTATGCTTTTTTGTGTGCAATGTCAGTTAGAGATTAAACCTCTTGCTCAATCTTTGGAGGGAAGCAACAGGGCTAATGATGTCATCACTTACTAAGAAAAGGGATGGACACGTCAGTATATGGCCTAATATGTTACACATCACATATATCACAACCTTTGTCTGTAAATTCATTTTGCTTGCTCTGACTCACTCCCCTACATCAAGATAAGGAGCTGCGCGAAAGCACGAGTTGCATTTAAGGGATTAAGCCATTCAAAGATCAGGATGATTTGGTGGACCACGTTCTGAAAAGTATTACACCATGAGAACTGAATTCCATAGATGGTGGCATCTCCAGGTGTCATCTATGGGCTCAGTTCTTTTGCCGTGGTACTGTTTACAGCTACAGGGATTTCTTCAAACCGGAGGTTGAAAGTCGTGACCACGACATATATTTTATTGAGGACATATTAATGTTTGAGTGAGCTACTGTTGTTGGTCTAAATCAATCAGTGTCTGAATGACTCTACAGGGTACCAATGTTCATTAATGTGTTGTATGGTGATAATAAAATTATGTAAATTTAATAATCTGCCTCTGTTTTGTTTGTTTTTTTGCCACAATGCAACTTTATTTGATCATATTAACAGACACTTAAACAAAACCAACATGATCAAATTTAATTCAAATCAAACATACTGATACAGGAGTACTGGGTTAAAGCTGACCCTAAGTCAGTGGTGCGCTGCACACAAATTAATGTAGAGGCCCAAACTGAAAAAATAAAACCAAACCTTAAATTAATTGTTAAAAAGAAATATTTAAAATACCAATGCTTTTATCTGTCCTATCAAGGAAGTAATATTATAAACTACCTTGACAGCATTTTTTTTACCCTTCATGAGTGTCCTCTAATTGAAGTTATTTTCCATTCTCTCTCCGTGAATACTTAATAAAAGAATCTGACATTTCTTTTGAATTAATGTGGGATACAGTCATGAATACTTTTTAAAAAAATACTTTTTTAAAATTAATTTCTTTTGAATTAATGTGGGATACAGGAAAACCCTTGTTAAGTAACCCAAATGACAACATGCCAGAAAATGAAAACTAAGGGGGTAACGTTTAACATCTAAACTATATAACATGAAAAAAAAAATCTAAACTATATAGCATGAAAAAAAAGAAAATTAATTTATTTATGTGGGGAGTGGCACAGGAGTGTACATCTAAAAAGTCTTGGAAATATAACTGCAGTAACTGAATATTTCATAATTACACACCGTTTAGCCTTTAAAACCTAAAATAACAAACCTAATGATCTATTATTGACATAGTTCATTCAAAACTCAATAGGTGTTATCGTTAGTAACAAAAAAACTGAATCATTCTTTTCACTGATTACAAGAGTTTTTTCTTTGAAGGTCCATTTGCTCTGTGGCCCCTTAACCACCTCGTAAGAACCGGAGATCAAAGTGTCACCTACTGTTTGATTGACAAAGTGTTGACCAATTAGAATAAACTACATATGCAGACAAAAAGTAACCTTTATTTTCATTGGTTAATATTGGCTATCGTTCAGTGACGTCGCGTCAGTGCATCCTTTCAGCCAATAGTGGCTTATTTTGTGTAAAGGATGAGCAACAGGCTGGGCCACAGTAGAACAGCGTTCGAAGTTAGAACTGTTTACTTTTGGACAGATCTGCTACTAGAATGTCTTTGTGTTTTAATTGTATTTTTTAATTAAATCGAAGCCTCATACAAGGATATTTTGCCACCGAGTCGTTTAATAAGGCAAACTTAATTCTGTTTAAGACCGTGGCATGGATGAGGTACGGCCTAGCAGTGGTGCTCAAGCCCACGGGCTGGTGCCGCTGTTTCCTCCCGGGTTGCAGGCTATTTACGGGGAATGCCGGCGACTTTATCCCGAGCAGGCTAACCCGCTTCAAGTAACAGCCATTGTTAAATACTGGTAGGTCTTCTGTGTCCTATTGTTGCTTCTCCTACACATCGGTGCTCACAGACAGTGGGCAGCAACAGTGTAAAAGTTTAGCTGCTTAGCTTAGCTTCCAAGCTAACGCTTCTTCACGTAAACCCAGGAGTTTAAACCGATCTCACTGCAGGTTTTGGAGCTGCTCTTTCTTACCAGTCCACTTACAGTACTGTGCAAGAGCCTCCCAACACAAGTTTTGTTGTTTGGGCAAAGTTTGTGATGGATTTTGTTGTTTGTAATGACTGTATATATTAGTTTTCGTTAATGCCATGAAACAGACCACATAATACATAAACTAACTTACTAAGTAAGGTGACAAAATCAGAATCGCCTACGTCTAAAGGATAATGATAATTTTCACAAATACTGTTATTAATATACAATGATTTTTCTTGAAGACCTTTCTAATCCCCATATTCAAGCTACATCACTGTCCTGATTGTGCTTCCACGATTAGTTGATTAATTAAATGCTAACCTGTGCATTACTCCGATTTGAGTCATCCTTGAATTTATTTTAGTACCAGTCCAATATTTTATACTTTTGTATAGAACGACAGTTTGGTCTTTAAGTATATATTTTAGTTGTCTTGCACAGTGCTGGCCGCTAGGGTAAAATGTCACGCTGTTACTTTGTCTATCTGCCTATCTAGCACCTCATGCTAATTTGTCATGATTAATGTGTTTATTCTCTTGTTACTCACAGGTTAGGGGGACCAGATCCACTGGACTACATCAGTATGTATAGGAACATGGGCTGTCCAAGTCAGGACGTCCAGGAGCATTGGCACTATGTCAGCTTTGGACTGAGTGATCTATATGGGGACAACCGGGTTCATGAGTTAGTATTTATTTTTGTATTAATTACATTTACATTACTTTTTTCATAACAATTACAAGATATGTTTAATATTTGTAGGAACTCATGCAACCACAAACAGTAGATTTAACAAACAACTGTGTGCGTGTGTCAGATTTACAGGTTCTGATGGACCCAGTGGGTTCGGTTTTGAGCTAACCTTTAGACTCAAGCGAGAGGTGGGAGAGACGGCACCACCAACCTGGCCAGCTGAACTTATGCAAGGATTATCTCGCTATGTTTTTCAGTCAGGTGAGAACCCAGAAATATTTATATTCATAATCATTTGTATTTATACCTTCTAGTGCTTTAAAAGATATATATTTAGTTTTCTGATCAATATGTTTTTAATTGCGAAACAGAACGAGACTATATT